ACACCGCTCTGTCCCTTCCCCTCTGAACGCACTGATCATTTCCTGCTTTTATGAAGCCCCTCCCTCAGAAATACACGATGGGCTCTGATTGATTAGCTGGCCCAGTGTGTTGTGATTGGCTAAACCGCCTCTAGCGCGAGTCTAAATATCACGCCCCTCAACATAGCGGCATGTGCTCGGGTTGTATTGTAAACAATGACGTCGTCTATATTGCTTATCAGTTTGAGCCCGATTGAGATGCAGAGGATATTAGTGAAGAGGATTGCGCAGAACCTGTGCAAGCACAGCTTTTAATGGTAGGCCTAAGATTTTTGTTTGTTGTTGTCTCATACTTTTAGATACGCTGTTATTTGTAAATGCTACTGCTTCTGTTAGCTTTTAATATATACGGTTTTATTCTGATTAAAGCTTTAATACAGTTTGGCAACCGCACACGCGTCGATGTATAACGCTTCTTATGGCTATAGTATGTGAAAATAAGGCCCAATCCCAATTCTAACCCTTAGCCCTTCCCCTTTTTCTACCCCTCTGTTTCGCACGTTCACGTGAAGGGGTAGGGGTGTCTCGATTCTCTTTTGGTTGGAGGGGTAGGGGTAAGGGGAAGGGCCAGATAGCCCTCCAAACGAAGATTTTTCGGGACCACACTTCAAACGAAGGGGTTTGAATTATCTCAGGGTAAACCGGCTTCAGCGGCAACATGGCTGCCCGAGCGAAAAAAAAGACACATAAATGTAAGCATTTTTGGCATTAATAAAGATTTTAACGAAAAGTAATCATTTGTTTTATGTTACATTCAATCGTGAGTTCATATTCACGGTCATGTTACTCAAAGAAATGTTTGCAAAAAATCGCTAAAGTTTGCTAACGTCATATCATTACTGACTGCACGATAGTGCCACAACATATTTTCATATCTGATCAGGGCGATAATAACCACCATAGACATTGAGGAGGGCTATAAATCGCTAAACCCTTTTCTGAAATATTGCCAATTCGAGAGAGAGAGAGATGAAAGTTGCGTGTGTGCGCGTCTGTGCCTTTCTCTTTTTAGAGTGAGTTTACTTCAAAAACAGTGATTTTATCTTCTCGTTGCTGGAAAATATAACGAGCGATTCAGTATTTAAACTGTTATTAATAAAAGTCGTGGGGCAGCGTTGACAAGTTTCTTTGCTCCTGGATGTGTGAGCTGCACGATATTTGATGTGTGTGTGCGTCAGTAAGCAGCGCATTAATATAGAACGGTAATTAAAGGCTCTAATGCACACCAGCACACCAGTATAGGTGTGTGTATTGTAGGAGCTAGACGACGTATGATGACGTGTGACGGCATAGTAGTGGTGTCCCAATTCTTAGGGGAATATTTTCACCCCTACCCCTTGACACTCTGTTTCAAGGGACAGGGGGAAGGGGTAGGTGGAGGGGTAGGGCAAGGGGAAGGGGTATAAAATAGAATTGGGATTGGGCCTAAGTGTATTCACTGAGCTGATGATCTGAATGAGAGAGAGAGAGATGCAGAGCGTGTGCAGAGCAGGGGGACATGAGGAACAGTATAAGAACCGCTGCTTTAGAACATTCACAAACTTGTGAATCCATTAGAATCGTTAGAAGACAGAATCGCGATTCATATATGAATAGATTTTTACATGCACCTCTAGTTTTCTCTTCCTCTTCTCTAAAGCAGTGCAGCATGGCCTCGCCCCCTTTGCTGCGTGTTCCCGGAGGCGGGGTTTATGTAAAATTCTGGGTTCTTGATGTAACGGACCCAGGAAGTAACTCGTTGTAGTCCCTTACCAGTCGTTTTTGTAGGCATTAAACTGCCAGAATTTTAAAAGACGATATCTCTGTTTGCATTGAACTTTCAGCTTCGTAACTTTGCAGATATTGTTTATGTTCAAACAGCAACATTACACACTAACTAACATTAAAAAAGTTAAATCGCAATCAACCACCCCTTTAAACTTTTCTGTACTTTCACACAAAAATGTCATCATTTTTTCCATGTCATTTCAACATAACTTTTGTTTCCTCTGTGAAGTGAGATCTTAACAGTGTCTAAAGCTCCAAAAAGGGAAAAATGCACCATAAAAGTATCCTGAATTAAACATTTTTACCTATATTTCCCAGAATTAAATATAGAATTAGACCTTTTACACACATCAACCCCAATACTCCAATACTCAGTCTACACCTAAATTTGCACATAATATACAGTACCTGTACATACAAAAACTGTCTATTGTTATATACCTGCACAAACAATTGTCGATTTATATATTTTTATTCCTTATTTACTTGTTCTATTTTTTATTTTTATTTTTTTTTCTGTGTTTTTTGTTCTGTCACTGTCATTCTGTTACACTGTGGAAGCTTCTGTCACGAAAACAAATTCCTCGTATGTGTAAACATACCTGACAATAAAGCTCATTCTGACTCTGATTCTGATTCTGATAACAGGGCATTTTGTCACACTACATAGGGAGTCTACACCTAAATTTGCACATAATATACAGTACCTGTACATACAAAAACTGTCTATTGTTATATACCTGCACAAACAATTGTCGATTTATATATTTTTATTCCTTATTTACTTGTTCTATTTTTTATTTTTATTTTTTTTTCTGTGTTTTTTGTTCTGTCACTGTCATTCTGTTACACTGTGGAAGCTTCTGTCACGAAAACAAATTCCTCGTATGTGTAAACATACCTGACAATAAAGCTCATTCTGATTCTGATTCTGATTCTGATAACAGGGCATTTTGTCACACTACATAGGGAAAACTATCACACAATATACCATTAAACAGCCTATTATAGGCTTTTCAATAGAATTTGAAACAACAATAAAGCAGAAAAGTATGACAAATAATCATCCTCAATGACACCATTGTCCTGAACACAGAACAACCTTTTGTTTACTACAGTACATTGAATGTATTGTGTGGATTATTTACTTCTTTCCCCAACAGAAATGACAAAAATATGTGTATCTTCTCCCTGTATGAGCCAATCTATTTCACTTATTAATCATCTTAATAATCACTAAATACTTTATTATGTGAATAGCAGGAGTGTTTGAATGGAAATTGTACCGTGTAGTGGTAATAGTCACTTGGATTAGCCTAATTATGATCAGCTCCCTTAGAGTCGATATATTATCATGGGTCTGAATTCTTTTAATTGCTCCTCTGAAAAAACTTTCCTTTTCTCCAACAATAATCTGCTTGCTCATAATTGAGGATCACTGCCAATTTTTGGATATGTATGCTGAGCAGGATAACAAATACCTTTGATGAAAGTGTAAAGCACTGCTTTGCTAGTTCTATATTTTTATTATCTCATCAATATCGCTAAGATATTTAGTGTTTCATATAAAGAATTCCTCATATAAGGAATGGTTTGCTTATTTTGAATGGTTTGATCAGTTTATTACTCGCTAAAATCACTTTCTTGTTCAATTTTACAACCATTATACCATTTTTCGGCCATGGAGGTTAGCTGTATTGTAACTTTAGGAGCCTTGATTCCACAGTAATATAAATGAAATAATATGAATATGAAAGGATGTAAAAAGATCATTAATATCCCTGTTTCTGGTGGATAAACTGATACATTAATATTCTTCCCCCCTTTTTTCATGGTTTCTCTTGCATTTTACTAAACTGGCATATTTAGTGTCATTTTATTGATATGTTCTGTTCTGCTGCATTCAAAAGAATGTCTGTTAGGTAAAATAAGGTGAAAGAATAAAGAGACAAATCTCTGGGTGTGTAGCAGGTACATTTCACTGTCACTTCAGAGTGTTCACTTCAGTTAGCTGATTTGACAGCCTTATGAAACTGAGAAGACTCTGCTAGCAGCGTATTTAAAACACATAAAGCTTCTCGCTGAGGTGCTATGCCAAGATCCTGATCTAAGCACTAAAGGGCCCCAGAAGATAGAGATGGGCTGTGCAGATCTTTAATGAAGTAGTCACTACTTGAGTATCCCTGTGGGGATTTTTATGAAACCAAAAAAACTAAAACAAATGCTAATTTATCCCAGTGTTGTGGTTGTCAGCATTGTACTACTTAAGCCTGCTTGGCTTACAGATATATAAAGTATTTACATCTGAGCATTAGAAAGGTGTACGTTAGGCGCTTCATTTGCATAGTGGATGCCTACAGCATATTCAAGACTGATGCTTAGTTTAGAAGCTACATTTTCTTTTTATTTAGAAGCTACACTTTCTTTTATTTTTGGTTGATATTTTTTTATTATGAACAGTGAAGCATATTTTTCGATTTGTTGAGAGATATCAAAGAGAGACTGCTCGCTTTAGAGATAGTGTTTTTATAGAATAATACATTGAAAAATATGTAGAAAATGATCCTTGAAAGTTATCTCAGAAATAACCGCTGAGATATCATGCCAATCATGAGTAAAATAGAAAGTAAAATAAAAGTGGCCAGTCATATTCTTTTCTTAGCCAATCACAAGGCTTTTGAGGCACTTTTTGCATGTCAGTATTATGCACGTTCACATCATACAGTCCATATACACTCTTAAAAATAAAGGTGCTTCACGATGCCATAGAAGAACCTTTTTGTCTAAATTGTTCCATAAAGAACCTTCAACATCTGAAGAACCTGAATCTGAAGGTTCTTTGTGGCGAAAAAAGGTTCTTGAGATTATAAAAAGGTAATAAAGAGATGGTTCTTTAAAGAACCTTTGACTGAATGGTTCTTTGTGGAACTAAAAATGGTTCTTCTATGGCATCGCTTGAAGAACCTTTTGAAGCACCTTTATTTTTAAGAGTGTATGGGAAGCCGGAAGCTGAGAGCGATTTGAACATGGAGCAATTTTCTTGGAAGGATGCGAAAATGTTCGTGATTACGAACAACGGATTACACAGACACATGTCCTAAAAGTAGGCTAATGGGAAGACAGACGAAAAATAAACAGACCAAACTGCCACTTGACCAAAAACGACACAAGTGAGCATGTTAAGCTTTTCATCGCTGAACAAAGCTGAGAGCATCATGAGCGTGATACAGGTTGCTTTCCTTCTGCTTGTAAGGTAAAAAATATAATGGTGAGCCACCGAAGTGGAGAGGTTGTATCCAAAGTCTTGCTGAAGTCCAGAACCACTAGCATTACTTACAATTTCATTTAAAAATGACAGTAGCCTACACATGCTAAACATGGTCATTATCATCTAAGAATGGAGGCTACAACGTTTTGTGGCTGATAACAAATTACAAGAGTTTTAATGGTGTATTAATTTGTTAGGCCTATATATTTTGGTTTATATAGTTATCATGGTAAAGTTTTGCAATGGTAGGGAGTGACACATTCCTTCATCTTAAAGGGGTCCTATTATGCTCTTTTACAAAGTCTTGAGATTGTTTTGGGGGTGTACTAGAACAGGCTCTCATACTAGGTTGTTCGAAAAACATAATTTTTTCACATATTTTACATTATTATAACACCGCTCTCCCCAGTCTGGCATGAACGGCTGAAATGTGATGAAATGTGCTGTGATTGGTTAGCTGGACCAGTGTGTGTTGTGATTGGCAGCACTCGGCGCCTGGTCGGGAAATGTCATGCCCCTTACCATAGCCGCCTGCGAGCTTCAGTGTAAATATTGTGTCAAAATCAAATCATTTTGAGCGAGATTTAAACCCGGATGATTGTAAACACTCTAAGTTCGTCTGCCTTGGGAAAGCTGGCGTATCTACGACACTCGTTGCCTTCTCTAGTGCAGCTCAACCAGGTCTCGTCCCATTCGTCGATCTTTGTGATATCACAAATCCCGGAAAATATGCGTTGTAGTCCAAACGAGTCGTTCGTTGTAGTTTTTGAACAGTGATTTCTGTTAAATAAAATAGCTCCTTTTGAAGGGGACTTTGAGCTTTGTAACTTTGCAGATCTTTTTTATGCTCAAACAGCAACATTGCAGACTAACTAAAGTTGAAAAAGTGAAAAAGCATAATAGGACCCCTTTAAAAATAGATAAATAAATACAATGAGCAGATGGGCGGAATAGTGTCGTTTACCTGCCAGAGTCACGTCAAACCGGGTTTCCTCTCTTTCTCTGCTTCTCTCTCTCCTCCGCACGTTCTCTCTCTCTCTTTCAGACCACTCCTCTCTCCTCTCTTTCGATCACCCCCACTGATGATCCTCCTCTCCGGTACCGGGGACAGAGTCTCGCGCTGCGCTCGTGGGAGCCTGAGGAACTGGATCCGCTGTTTTACCGCGCCGGATTTTGATCCAACAAACAGAAAGAAGGGACAAGATGGATAGAATACAAGAAGAAACGCGCGGGCCGTAGCTACAGACTCTATCCCGTCACGACATGTCACTTGTCATGACAGAGCCGTCTTGAGCTTCACTGAATATGCGTAACGAGAGAAGCAGATACGATTTAATTTTTGGCAATGAACTTGAATTTCCATTCCTCCACATTAATGGGAGGACATGGCTCAACACACATATTCCTAAATGCTTTGGAACATAATAATTTTTTTGCGTCATCTCAGTAAGACATCAGTAAAGCAGTTTGTCAGTGCACAGCGCATTATGAGCGTTCAGTGCTGCATTGATGCAAGGGAGACGCTGGAGAGGAGGACAGACCGAACCGTCGTGTGATGTGACTCGTGTCTCAGCACCAGATCAGTCCTGGGATTACTGCTGGAGTCCCAAACAATCTATAGAAATAGTCTAATGGACAATCACTCAACGCTTCAGTGTAAGTAACCATACCAAGTCGTTTTATTGCTAATATTGAAATGGTAGCTAGTATCGAGTAATATTCAGATGCATGAGATCAAACAACAATCTAAAGGCCCCCAGTATAAATGTGTTGGTTGCTGCTTACAAAGTGAACATAGATTGAAAAAATAAAATAAATTAATATTTTTATTGAATATTAATAGGGCAACACAATTAGTTTTAAAGAAATTAATAGAAAGCTGTTTTTGATTGTTATGGGGTAAACGTCCCTCAAACACCCTTTAAAAAAAAAAAATATATATATATATATATATGTCAAATTAAAAAGATATACAATTTATTTATTTAAAAAAGGGGATGAGGCCCCAGGGTCCAGGAGGGGCTGAAATACTGTACTTTTGAGAACAAATTCAAAATAAGCATTTCATTTTATATATCATAAATTGCATAACAAACTCCTTTGTAACACATCTATTTTCCCCACTTACGAATAACAATTTGTTGCATTCAGGCATGCTGCATCTTCCGCCACTTCCAAACTATCAGTCATTTTAGTGACGTTTTACCCCCTTTTCAGGGATTCTCACATGCAAAATGTTTAAAAAAAAATTTAATCTTATATCATAAACTAGTTCAAATTTGAATTTGGCAGATTTTGTCAAATTCAGTCTTTTGTCATTGTACGCAGTGACCTTAGAACGGTGTTGCACACAGGTGTTTAAGTGCTGCGGTGGTGTCAGTTGTTATTTAGTGTTTTGAGAGACAATAAATTCAAAACTGCCTCTTACTTTGCCTTTTAAACTGATTTGCCCGACTGCTCTTACAGTATAACCCCTCTAAAATGTTCTACAGATTCACTGCCGCTTTACTTATACACAGGTTAAGTTAGTTTTGTAAATATGATACCTAGTAACATCTCATCATGACTCAGTAGTCTGGTATTTAGTCAGGTGGTTTAGAGCTTGACATGTAGTCAAGGGATTTCTCACCATCTTTATATTTCTTTATTCAGCATAATACAGAAAAGTGCTGTGAAAACGTGTAGAAATGACATTCTTCCATAATAATCTATATTGTACCTTCTGATACTGTACAAAAAATGTGATGTCACATCCCAAAATTGCATTACCCTTCTTCATATGAACACTGCATTAAATCATCATACTGTGACCTCATTAAAGGGGATATAACTCACACAGTTTCTGCCAATCTCATGTTAATCTCGATTACCTATAGAGTAGTATTGCATCCTTCACATCTCCGAAGAGTCTTTAGTTTGATCAGATTTATAAAAGGCAGATACAGCTGTACCGCTTCTCTCTGAAAACAGTCGAGCTCCTGGAGGTATGCCGTGGGCGGAGCTAAAGAGTCACATGCACGAAGCTTTTGCGTAGCGATTGTCTGCAAGTTGTGACATCAACAAAAATAAAACAGGAACAAAAATGTTATTGACTTAAATTTAATCTAATTATAAATCATTCGTCACAGAAATCCCGGGAACAAACAAACACACTTGCACAACTTCATTGCTGCCCTGGAGAAACAAACTGCATCCACTGTTCCCTTACCGCTGGGTTCTTTGGGAAGCTGAACAAGGTTATCTTTCCTTCACAACCAAAAACCCACTTCTTTAGGTGACATTGTTGATTTTGTGGTCAAAAACAAAATGTAAAATCCTTCTTGGGCAAGTCCTGTGCAGCACTGCCGATGACTTCCGTAACCCGAATGAAGCACGTTGATGGGTGTACTCTTGCTTTCGCTCTGGTTTACATGTGCGCGCATCTTCCGGGAGACGTGCCCATACAAGGAATTGCCACCCTTTATGATGTCATACAGGGCCATTCTCAGAAAAAAAACTTTACGAAAATGATACGAACCCTGAAGGAGTGTATTTAGCACAGAAATACTCCGTCAAGCGTCCAACTCTTTTTTTGAAACTTTGGCCATGTTCATGCAACTCTTTAACAGTGTAAATAAGTCAATAGCATTAGACCTCCCCTTTAAACCATCCAGTTAATCTGTATCTTAGTTTAGCTAAACCAGGAACTAAAAGTTAAACCAGCTGACTAAAACCACCTATTTATTCTCGTATGCCATCCTGCATGTAATTTCCCTTATTGCCACAATTTACACTCCAATTATGTTAATGGTTGAGACTTTCTGTGATTATCTTAGAGGGTCTAATGTTACAGAGAATACTGGAAGAACAAAATGTCTTTCGCAAAGCTCCAGAAGTTTTAAAGTAATCGTTCTTAATGCACACTGTGCTATTTGCAACTTTTTGACATTTTTAGTGGGAATACGTCACAAAACACTCATTGTTAAGAGTTATTTTATTAGTTAACCTTGGCAATAATGTTATGTCCATCATCCTGCACTTCCTGGAACATTTAAGCAGATATTTATTTTATTTAGTTTCTCAGTCTGCTCAGAAAGACAATGCTATTACCGCATACATGCTAAGCTGCCATATTCTGAGAAGGTATGTATGCCGCAGATAAGTTGTTGGACAGGTGTAAGCAGATTAGGGGTCGCAGTGCCTCATTCTGCCAGAGAAATAGGACCATAGCAGACATGACGGCTGAACAAAAGCTGAGTGGCATGGCCGGTGGAGAGATGTTTGTATGATGGGCCTTGTGGCTGTCAGGAGATAAATAGCCCTTTGCTAGCAGGGGAGGGAGTTGGAAGGCTTGCTGGATCTGTTCCAGGAGCTTGGAGAGAGCAGGGGGAACGGAGGCTGTCGCCAAGGGCACTGATACGGACTGTCCTGCTGCCAAGTGCCAACCACTGTCTGCATATATATATATATATATATATATATATATGATGATTTCTAAGATTTTCAAGCAAGATGCCTTCAGTGCAGCTATCTTCTAAAGACAAATAGTCAGCAGAATAGGATCAGCTTGTGCTGCAGCTGGGTTTATGTGTCTGAATTCGGCCTTGTACCTGCTATGGTATGTCTTATGTGAACAGATCTCAATTATTGCTATTGTGACAGGACTTTGCAAAAAAAGAACATGATTTCAAACATTCTGTTAGTTGTTGTAAAGATTGTGCCAATCATAAGCTGTGTTGTCATTAAAAAACAGTCAAGTAGTAACGTTATTTGACATGTCAAAGTCACATTTTGGATGAACTCAAATTTTTATTCAAAATCCATGAAATTAGAATTTTAAGTATTAACTCAGAATTATCAAGTACAAAATTAAGGCTGGGGGGAATACTCACAAGCCCCTGTGCTTGAATAATTGAATTATGTATGCTTGATCAAAGCATGGTAGCTTATGGGGACATGCAGAAATTGTTATTAAAAATTTAAATAGGTTTTAGCTCTTTTGAGTATTGCTGGTGGTTCACTTGGGCCATGTTAAATTCAATCCATTTCTCTCTTGCAAATATTTTATAAAGGTGCAGTTTTATGTGCATTACAATTTATTTGGGGACAATCAAGTGTGTTGGTTGCCTGACCCAATTTTCAGCCAAAATGACCTTTAAAAAAAAAAAATTGTTAATGAAAGTATTAACTAAGCTAAACAAACATGATTTTCTTAAAATGTAAATTTAACTCATTAAGAGTTTGCAGCAGTGTTCTTTTAGTATCTTTAAGACACTAGTATACTTTTTAATTATTGATTTATTTATTGTTAAATATCCCTATATGACATATCATATAGAATATGTCAAATATTAATCAATACTTGATCAAGATGCTGTAACATCATTTTAAATTCAGTTTGGACAGCAATTTCATCCAGTGGTAATTGGGTGAAAATAGGAACTTCCCACACTGAAATTGGTTTAATGTAGGCCTAGGTGTAGGCCAGTATGTTTGATGTTCATTTTGAATCAAATCAATGTCAAGTTTTTGATATCAGTTTGATTTGCATATTTGACCTGTTTTTTTGCGTGACGTCAGTGTTTGTTGTCAATTTTATGTCTTTTCAACATCAATTGCCCACTGGAATGTCTGTATAGGTTTTATTAGTTTTAATTTGTACATCAAGCTAAACTAAATGAAAATTAGATATGTTGCCTTGGTAACTAGCTGAAATCATTTTTAGAATAATTTTAGTTAATATTTAATTTATTTAAAAACAAAAGATGTTTTTTAGTTTCGATTTCACAACGAACAACACAGAGGTCTAGTGTGAGGGGAAGCCCCGGCTTAGCGTGCGCTGAGGCCGGGATAGAGTGAGCTGAGGCCGGGCTAGCGTGAGCTGAGGCCGGGCTAGAGTGAGCTGAGCCGGCGGGGTCGAGAACGGTGCGCCTGGCGGATCCGATGAATGAGCGGCAACCACATGTGATGGACCCCAGGCTGGATTCCGCTTCGTCCATGGTGAAAGTTGATTTATTCCCTCAGCGACTAGCACAGATCAGCTCTAGGCATGACGAAGCAGATATCGTCCTCTTTTGGAAGACCAAACAAAGTAGTTTTGCTTTCACAACGAAGCACACAGCATCTTCAGAACATGGATACAGTGTCAACAAAACTACAGTGAGACTAAAAGTTACGCCGTCTTTCTTTGCGTGAACATTTGGGCGGCGTTATGCAAATCTTCCCACATAGTGAGGTAGATATGTGGGGGCGTGTTAGAACGAGCCGTTTTAGGTAGGTGTGGCTGACTCTGAACTTTTATAAAGAATATCTCTTTGGATTTGAGACTTTAGTCTTTGCAACTTTACAGATCTTCTTTATGCACCAAGAGCTTGTAACACTCCAAAGAGAAAGGAAAAATTGAAATCGCATCATATGACCCCTTTAAGTTAAATATGATAACCATGGCTTGCAGTGTGTATAACCTGCCCCTAAAACTAATAATATTTTTTTTTGTTTTTTATAATTTTTCTGTTGTTTATGTGTTGAATAGCTTGTCTGAAGCTGCATGATTATCTCTGTATTTCAGGAATATGTCATGATACTGATTTGTGATGTCTGATTTTGAACGAATGCAAGATGAAAAATGTTATGCAATGTTACTATCCTTAGATGTTTTGCTCTTTGTATGCTAGTGC